TTTGCATCACTCGAAACACTTCGGATGGCCATATTTCACACATACAGCTGAAATTCATTAAATGCATGCCTTTTTCTTAATTTAAAAGTCATAAAAAGCAGGAAAACAACATCTAATTTAACCTTCATAGCTCTATATGTGAAAATTAGCATTCTTCTAAAGCTGTATCTCCTAGAATAAGTAGGTGTAATCAACACAGCAGACACAGCACCTTTAATACATTTCACAAAGAATTTCTGGAATTTGAGTTACCTCCCCTTTTTAAAGCTGACTTTCTGGCACTGTGTTTAATATTATTATGAAATTTCATCATCATTGTAGTCAGTGTGTATTCTAGAGTATTTACACAAAGTTTAATGAGAAAAAACAAGCATTGAAAAAATTTCATTTTACCTTAAGGTAGCACTCCACACTAAATTTCAAGTTTCTGCCGTCAATGTCCTACAAGCAATATGTCTGATAAATCTGATCCCAAACTACACAACCTGGAAAAAGAAAACACATTTTGTTAAGAACATATATGTCCTACCATTGCAAATATGTAATGAAATCATCCCATATGCAACAGTCAGGCAGTTAAAAATATTCCAATTCATTCCGTAAAAGCCAAAAATCTATAGTGGTCCGAGACCCAAAATAACATTTTTCGTCCCTTCGGCAAAAAATACCTGCAAATATACGGTCTACAAAAACTCTGTCACTACTTTAGCAACTCCCTATGCATGCAAAATATCACAAAGAAATAGGTGCTTGGCCTTGTAGATTTTTTGCTATTGCTGAAAGTTTGTAGCCCCCTGTAAAATTACTTGTTTTCACCGAGCATGCTGTTTAAAAGCAATGTTTACAAACAATGGCGACCTTGACATCAATAATTATCAGCATGTGATTTCTAACCATGTTTTCGAATTTGCCAATGATCATATTACATGTCACAAAAACAAATTTCATGCTGAAAATGCATTTTAAAGACAAACAGTCATTTAAATCCACAATAGTCACTATATCAATGAAATCCTCCCTGGCCATTCGAAGCTGCGGCTTCATTTAGTGTGGTGTGCTGCCTAAGTGACGGTCGGCGTCACATGTTTTTAACATCTCGTGATAAAGGCAATTAAGGCTAACTGATACAAAATTAGAGGTGTTGCAACCGATTTGTTTGATTATGATAATATTGTTTATTTGCCGTCTTTAGTAACGATAAAAAGAAAATTTCGAAGTATGTGAAATGAGCAAACGTAAAAAATAACGCTTAACGGGTAAATGTCCATGCACGCTTTTAAATACATTCGCGATTCATGTAATATAAATCCGTGATGTAACTTGTATAGCAATTATCGATTTATAAAATGATGCTTGTACGTGTTTATTTTTGTTCATGAATACAGATAAAATCTTGCTCTTATGATTTTGTTGTTTAAAATTATGTTTTTTTTCCTCATAATGCCAGCCCGCCATGTCGAGCCGGTATTACGTTAGGATTTTACCGAGGAAACAATAGAAAATAACATAAAACTCAAAATCAATCCAAATTCTAACAGACTATTGGCTTGATTCACCTGTTTGATATGGACCCAAAATGCAATTATCCAACCAAATTTAAGCTAACATAACGACTTTAATCCTTCCATTTTATCGCCAGTAATGTAAAAAAAAACAAGACTTAGTATTGTTTGAAGCGCAATGTTATTATGATGATACAAATGTAAGTTTTATGATATCGTTATAATTGATCATATTTTCACTGAAGTTTTGATTTGCTTCATTTTACATGTTTCCTCGTTTAGTTTTTTAAGATAAGTGTTCATCTGTTGTTCGAATTTTTGTATTTTGATTTTGAATATTTTTTTGGTCATTTTACTTTTTCTATTATTTAGTGATTTTACTCTCCGATGTGGCTTCCGTATTGATTTTCCCACAGGCTTAAAAGGTTACCTTGTACTTTCTGGAAAAATTTCTAGCCGAGTTATGACCGTTGAATCACAATGTGTTTTGTACTGTTATATAATTTTTGTGTCACCTGCTACGCTGTATCTGTAGCATGCAAATGGCTATCATGAGGCGACACATGTCTTCATTAAAGGCCCTTGTTATTAAAATCATAGTACACTTTTCTCAAGTTGTATTTTCTTGAAATATGCTGGCTCATCTAGATGCATGCACCTTTAATACAAAAAAGACGTCGTTTGACTGTGATGCGGCAATATTTGACTCTAAAGCGGTAAAACACAATACAGTTATTATTTATGATACAAACTGTATCTACGAAATGAAATATCATACTCGTTTAGTAAATTATAGAAATACTTGCTAACTCATACTGAGCTTAAATGAACAAAATTTAAAGATATTGCTTTTTATGAAGATTATAATAGTTTTTTTTTTTCAATTGAAAAACTCATAATGCCATATTACGTTAAGATTTTACTGAGGAAACAATAGAAAACAACATAAAACTCAAAATCAATCCAAATTCTAACAGAATATTGGCTTGATTCACTGTTTAAGATGGACTAAAATTTCAACTATCCAATCAAATTTAAGCTAACATAGCGACATTTATCCTTCAGTTTTATCGCAAGTAATAATAATAAAAAAAAACATAAAAAAACAGCAAGACTTAGTATAGTTAGCAATGATATTATGATGATACAAATGTTTGTTTTATGATATCGTTTTAATTGATCATATTTTCACTGAAGTTTGATTTGCTTTATTTCACCTGTTTTCTCGTTAAGTTAATTAAGATTAGTGTTCATCTGTTGTTTGCATTTTTGTATTTTGATTTAAAAATTGTTTTCGAGTCGTTTTACTTTTTCTATTATTTAGTGAAATCCCTCTCCGGTGTGGCTCCCCTATTGATTTTCCCATAGGCCTAAAAGGTTGCCTCGTACTTTACTGCAGTGTTTTTGGAGGATTTTTAGCCGAGTTATGACCCTTGAATTTTGTACTGTTAATAACTCTTGTGACTCCTGCTACGCTGAATCTGTAGCAGGCAACATCAGTGATGGCCTTAGTAATTAAAATATCATAGTACACTTTTTTAAAGTTTGATTTTCTTGAAATATGCTGGCTTATCTAGAGGCATGCATCTTTAATCCAAAGAAGACGTCGTATGACTGCGATGCTGCAATATTTGACTGTAAAGCGGTTAAACACAATACAGTTATTATCTATGATACAAACTGTATCTTAAAAATGAAATATCATACTCGTTCAGTAAATTATAGAAATACTTGCTAACTCATACTTAGCTTAAATGAACAAAATTCAAAGAAAAAAGTTTTTTTATGAAGATTTTTTTTTATTTGAAATACTCAATCGTCATCAAAATTTATGCCATGACGTCATGACAATATCTTTCACGTGTACTTTAAATTATCTTTAAATGTATATATTGATTGGAGTTCGATGTCATTTCCCGAAATTCAAACAGTGTGATACAACTTGTATCTAATTGATAGTTTTTATTTTTTCAAAAAAAAAAAAAAAAAAAAAAAAAACAAAAAAAAAAACAACACAAAAAAAACAAATAAATAAATAAATAAGATGTAATTAATACATAAAATTTTTGCATACGACAAATCATCCTGGAGAAGAGTAATTAATTATCGACAAAAACATCGAAGGTCACATTGAAAAATAGCAACAGCTTTTTTTCCATGAAAAAAAGGGTAAGGAAAGTTCTTTGCATATTCAAGACATTTTCAACCGGAAATCGTATAAATTTACCTTTTCATTGGCAGCCTTAAGTTTGGATAAGAACGGATGTCCTATGAGCTTAATACTCTCTTAAAAGTTCATCTACATACATCATTCCATTACTATATAAAATATGCATCTCCTTCGTAAAATAAAATTTCTGATAAACTTTAACTTCTGTCATATATGTCTCGTATCTAAAGGCGCTATCTCTATCCCTAAGCATCCCTGTTTTACAATATTTATTTCCTCATATCATGTCAGTTCCTGTATTAGATGTATTTAAATGTAAAGGTGACTTACTGGTTCTCCGCGTTACATCGTATAGAGGAGAACCATTGTCTAACTGTAACGGATTACATAAACCCGTTTTGAAGGCTTGAATGTATTCAAGCATACATGTGTATTTCATACACGGGTATATATACCCGCGGCAGAGTATGAAAATCAGTTCTAGCGATATTTCTCTTACGAGATCACCAGCATGGAAGATTTAGATAGAGTTGTAGAGGACAAGGTCAAGGCGTCCTTGGAAGAACATAAGGAGGATATGTTGAAGGAAATAGGCAGCCTTTTTGAAAAGATATTGGCAATTCTAGTAGCAAATTTTCTAGTATGATGATTAACAGTGAAAAGAAATTGATGAAATTTTAACAAGAGTCGTAAATTATACGTTATGTATGTGTGAAGACAAGAATAATTTTAGATAAATGAATTATTAATGTTTTCTGAAGAGAATATCTCGGCAAATGTTTCGTGAAACATGTAGACCAGTATTTCCCAGAATACTGGAGTTACTGTGTAGTCATGTTTGCACGGGTTTTCCGTTTTTTAACTGTATCATTGACAGTAGACAGTTTGATATGGTATATTTTTGCTTGTTGGTATTTGTATTGGATCTTAATGAAAGACCGAACGGACGAAATTTTAGAAAAAAAAAGTAATCATTTCCTCTGGAAATAATAAACGTTCTACAGATAAAAAAATTTGTGTGAATATATAGAAATTAAATTCGTCGATAATTTTAATTCATAATAGCATGTTTATTGTTTTTAAGATTATAAAAGCATATAGTTTTTGATAATGTTGAAATTCGCTGTGTTTTCAGCAAAAGAAATGATGCTCGTCGACTGAAGCTTATAAAACTTGCGGATATAGCTGAGTTGGGTCAGAGAGTCGTTCAGGAATATGAAGCCAGTCCTTTAGCGAGAGACTCAGACGATGAAAAACGTATCTTTAAAGCGGAAGCGAGGGCTTGTAAGAAGTACAAAGCAGAGAAATAAAAAAACTAAGTCTGCACGTAACTGGCCATACCGGAAATAGCGTATGTTTACAGAGACCAGTCCCGGAAGTCAACAATTGGTAGGCCGTCAAGGGCGTGGACCAGGGCTGTGCTTTGCATGTGGCAAACCGGGGCATTGGCGAGGGGTGCCGGAATGCCCAGAAAGGAATACTAATAATAAGATAAATAATGATTTATTTACATGCGTAAACAGAGAAAATATTTATGATGGCTGTTGTGATAGTAATTTATCAAACAGCGAAGGTGATGTATTACATATACCATATTTAAATGAGAAATATGTTGAAGAATATAAAATATGTCACAGTTACAATTTGTAGAGGAGCAAGAAGACACAGTTGTTTCGGCAGTAGGTAGGTTAAAAAATTGTGTAAATAAATGTAAAGAGGCATCGGATAGTGCATTTATTATTACGGTTGTTGAAAAAGGTTATATGTTACCTTTGAAGGAAGTACCGCCAAGCGTAGTACTTAGAAATAATAGGTCTGCAAGAGATAATATTAAGTTTGTAGAAGAAGATATAGAGCGTCTTTTAACTGGATTTCTTAGGTGTAATGAATTGAGTAATTTATTGTGTAAGGATGTTGAATTCAAAATAGATCATATTATTTTAAAGATTCAAAAAAGTAAGACCGATATTTATCGATCGGGTAAAGAAGTTTTAATAGCTAAAAGTTGTTTGGTTGCATGCCCGTATTCAATGTTACAGCCGCTCATTTGTCTGTTATTTCAGATAGTTATCTTTTTAAGCCTGCGTTAAGATCAAAGGGTAAATCATCACTTATTAAACTCAACAAAAAAT